TCGCTGCAGCATTTTGATCAGCTGCACTATCCGCCCAAGACCCCTTATTGTGCTTATGAAACTAAACCCTAAACCCCAAAGTAAGGCCACTAAGTACGGGTTGTGGGCTTTTGGATCTAGATCCTTACCTCCTAGGCTTCCTCGTCCCAAGAACCCTGCAAGGCCCGAAATCCCTCACCGCCCTGCGCTAAGGGCAGCGCATCGTGGAGCTCGCTGACCATCACCTTTGGCCCCAAACGGTGTAGGGTTTGGACCCTAAACCCTAAACCCCTAAACCCTAAACTCCTCGACCCCAAACCACTAAACCCTAAACTCCTACACCCTAAACCCCTAAACCCTGAACCTTTAGGGTTTAGGGTTTCGGGTTTAGGAAGAGATGGGTTGGAGACTTTCCGTTTAACATGGCCTAAAGCTCCTCCAGGATTTAGGGTTTGGGGCTTAGGGTTTCTCTAGGGCGTTAGGCTTTTAGGGTTTAGGGTCGAGGATTGTAGGAATATTGGTTTTGGGTTTTGGAACCCTAAACCCTAAACCCTAAACCCTAAACCGTAACCCCTAAAAGGACGTTTCCTTGTCCGCGCATCTTTATCATCTGCTCCCTTCCGAAAAGAGTTTAATGTAGGGGCCTTAACAGGTTCAGGGTTTAGGGTTAGAATAGGGTTTTCGGGGTACATTATGCTATACTTATAGCAAGGAACCACCCCAAATAAGTATTGGTAACTATTTAGGCCCCCATGTTAGATGTGTTCACGTCGGGCAAGCAGGATTCCGGCTGCCATGTCTGAAACTCATCCCTTACAGCACAACCAGAAGCTTTGTCCCTAAGCCCTAAACCCAAAACCTTAAACCCCAAACCCCAAACCCGAAAGCCTAAAGCCCTAAACCCGAAACCCTAAACCCTAAAGCCCGAAACCCTAAACCCTAAACCCTAAGCCAGAAGCTTTATCACCTAAACCCGAAACAATGCCCTCCTGTCGGAGCTTTAAGTCAAATCTGGTCACCGAGAGCATGACGTGCAAGCCTTGAGATTGCAAGCTCTGGAGCAGGGTTGGGTTTAGGGTTTAGGGTTTTGGGTTTAGGGGTTTAGGGTTTAGGGTTTAGGGCGTATATGGAGCTTCAAAGCATGAACCCTCAACCCTCGAAAATAAACGAAGCCTTCTCTAGACCCTAAACTAGGCTTCGGACCTAAAACCCAAACCCGAAACCCCCGAACACTAAACCCTTTTCTTCAGAAACCCCCATAGAACCTCTGTAGAACCCTGAGAGTACCCTCAAAAAGCCCACTATAAGCCTGAATAATCATAGTGTTCCTTGGGGTTCCTTGCTGCAATGATACCATACAATGTAGCCACTCCCCCCCAGAACCGCTCTTCTCCCTAAGCTCTGAACCCCTAAAGCCTGAACCCTAAACCCATAAGCCCCTAAACCTTCGCCCTAAACCCTAAACCCCGAAACCTTCCCCCTAAACCCCAAATCCCAAATCCCAAAGCCCCTAAACCCTAAACCCTAAACCTTAACCCCTGTCAAGGCCCCGACGGCGTCGCCGGCGCCGCCTTGCTCCCCAACGTTCTGGAGCATCTCCGCTAGCCGGGCGACCTCGGCCTCATGCGGGAAGTCCGATTTCGAGGAGTTAAGGGGGACTCAAGGCTTAGGGTTGAGGGTTTAGGGTTTAGGGTTTAGGGTTTAGGGTTTAGGGAAGGTTCCTCTACTTGGAGGTTCCTCTAAGGTTTCAGGGCTTAGGTTTGAGGTTTAGGGTAGGGTTTAGGGCTTAGGTTTAAGGTTTAGGGTTTAGGGTTTCAGGTTCCTCTACTTGGAGGTTCAAGGGTAGTGATGAGTAGGGTTGTAAATCCCCTAATATGGATTATTACAGTTATAAGTTATAACTATAGCTACCCTACTTATAACCCCACGTACAACTACCCATGAACCTCCAAACAGGGTTTAGGGCTTAGGTTTAAGGTTTACGGTTTAGGGTTTCAAGTTCCTCTGGGGTTCAGGGCTTAGGTAATTTAAGGTTTGGGGTTCAAGGTTCCTGTAGAGTTTGGGGCTTATAGGCTTCGGGGTTTAGGGGTTCAGGATAAACGAGGGTGTAGGGGACTGAAGGGTTTAGGAGTCTAGACACCCTAAACCCTAATCCCAAACCCCTCAACCCTAAACCCAAAGCCCTAAACACTAAGCCCCAAGCACTAAACCCAAACCCCTAAACCCTAAGCCCCAAACCCTGAATTTTTCGACTCTAAACCCTGAACCCTAGACCCTAAACCCTGAACCCTGAACCCCTGCATTGTTGCAAGTTTGCAAGGGGAAGGGGGGGGGGGGGGTGCGAGCCTTTCAGCACTCGAGCCCTCAACCCTGGCCGAGAAGTCCCAAGGCCAAAGAAAAAGCCCTCATCCGTTCACCCTTAGGGCTTAGGGTTTAGGGGTTAGGGGTCAGGGTTCAGGGTTTGGGGTTTAGGGTTCAGGGTTTCGGGTTTAGGGTTCAGGTTGTAGGGTTTAGGGTTCAGGGTTTGGGGTTCAGGGTTCAGGGTTCAGGGTTTAGGCTTTGGGGTTCAGGGTTTGGGGTTTGGCATTTGGGGCCAAGGGACCAAGCCAGCAAAGTTGCGCCGACCAGCTCAAGCCCAAAAGACCAACTCAGCAAACCCACTGGACACACTTGAAGGTTCATGTGTATTTATACGGAGGGTGATAAGTCCCCTGATATGGGTTATAACATGCTACAACGATAGTTGTCCTACTTACAACCCCACTTCTAACTACCCATGAACCTCCAAGTATCTGGACATTTTAACGAATTTCACATCGGCACACCTGAAGAAACGAGCCGCGCAAGGACCCGAAAACCATCCCCGAATTCTCAACCCCACACAGCGCTCACTTCGCGAGGCAATAACCTGTGGCAAAACCCTAAACCCTAAACCCTAAACCAACATCTCAACTTCGGAAGTTCGGGATGTGACAAGAAGCACCGGGAATCGCAGACAGTAAGCCCCAAACCCAACATCCTAAACCCTAGACCCCAAACCCCTAAAGCCCTTAATCCACAAATCCCTACAAAACCTTCGAAGTAAACCCCAAACCCAGCATCCTAGGCCCCAAACCCCTGAAGCCCTCAACCCACAAAACCCTGATGGCGCCTTTCTAGTACCCAGAATCAACTTTCAGACTTACACCTGTCACCGTTGCTTTGCCCCAGCTTTTCTCAGGCGGCCTGAAGGGAGGTCACAATCTCCTCTTTCTTGTTGACATTCTGCAGGGCCACCTTACGGTCTAGAGTCTTGGGCTTGGGTTTCGGATCGGGGTTCGGGGGTTTGGGGCAAAGCCTTGGACTTCAAAACTTTGCAAGTCTAAACGGATAAATTTCAATCTTTAGACTCGGCATGAATTCTTCATATAGTTGCTTTTGCCGACTTCGGAGTGGCATGCGCAGAGCTCAAGCAGAAATACAAAAACCTCAATAGCAGGACTTTTCAGTGTACTATTCTCATTGTTATGTAGGCGCTGTTGAGGAGTACTCCTTTCTAATCTAGGTCCCAAAAATGGTACACCACCGTTACAAAAGAGACCCTAAAAGGGACCCTACTTTAGAAAACTACCCTTAGGGTACCCTTATAGAAACCCTTATAGATCCCTTTCAGGACCCTTATTTAGAAAACTACCGCAAATTCGACATGAACGTAAGACCCGAAGTCCATGGTGCATGGAGCAAACTAGGGCTTTGATTTGGGGTTCAGAGTTTAGGGTTCAGGGCTCAGGGTTCAGGGTTTCGGGCTTATATAGGGCTTAGGGTTCCGGGTTTAGGGCTGAGGGTTTAGGGTACAAACCCACCTCACTGAGCGCTGCCCGGAACCCGAGCCCCGATCCCCCACAACCCGAACTGTCGCTGCCTTACTACGAACAAGGCTTTAAGGGGTATACTACAATAGATTACACGGTTTAGGGTTTAGGGTTTAGGGCTTGGGGTTTGACACATTTGCATTCAGGGAACCGCACAAGGGATATTGATAACTACTCCGACCCTCTATGAAAATCCACATTTGGGAGTTAGGATTAGGGGGACCCTTGCGGATAAAGACCCTCTGAGTAAGGTCCCTTTTAAGAGAGCCAGACGTAGGGTTCAGAAGGGGTACCCTTTAAGGGGTCTCCCTAATAATACTACCTAACATTGGCAACTACCGCTCTGTCGGGAGCCCTGGCCGTCTTGATTCGCTTCACCGAGCTCGCGAACCTGGCAATCGAGGACTTTGTTTTGCCCAGGGACCGAGCTCACAAGCCCTGAGGGGTTTAGGGTTTAGGGTGTAGGGTTTAGGGTTTAGGGTTTAGGGCTTAGGGCTTAGGGTTTAGGGTGTAGGGTTAGGGGAGTGGGAGAGGCATTCGGAGCCTGTCTTGGCAAAACATAATAAGGAGAATTTGGCAAGTGTTCAGGCCTCTATTGTCGGCAATGAACCTCCGAAACCCCAACAGAAGTTAGAGCTGAGAGGTTTGGTCTTTGGTGATTTTGAGATGCCCTGATTTTGGGCGCAGACTATCATGTCTATCACTAGGCCCGCGAATGGGCTTGTAGTGTCTCATAAAGCAGGTTCCGGGTCGGGGTTTTAGGGGTGTGGGGTTACCCTAAACCCTAAACCCTACCTGTATCCCCACACCCTACAAGATAGTAGGGTATGACGCCTTAGTTATAGGGCCTAACCCCTAAGACAGTAGGTTTTTGGGAGACCCAGGTAAACTTTGGCTCTAGGGTTTTGGGTTTGGGGTGTAGCGTTTAATGGTGTTGCAAGGTTCGAATCAGCCCTTTGCAGCCCGGAATGCCGGGAGGTCTGGACCCTAAATCCGCAATCCGCAGCCTCACCCCAAAATGCCTTACACCCTCAACGCTTATTGGGGTGTAGGGTGTAGGTTTAGGGTTTAGGTCAACGCTTGATTCTGGATGTGGATGAATGCTTCCTGGTGTACTATTAACGACGAACCAGACCATACCAGAGCCTGCCCGTGCAACTTTCCGTATGCTCACCTTGCACCCTTGACTTTCAGCTGCTCTTTAACTGCACTGCTGTCACCACCACAGCGAGCATCGCCCCAGGTCACGACAGATGCGTCGGCAAGAACGGCCGCAAAGGCCGAATCGGTCGATTGGATGTGCAGAACGTTCTTCAGCTGGTCGTGAACAGGCCTGCTGTCGGCACCGAAACGAGCATTGCCCCAGGATAGGACGGATCCGTCGTCAAGCGTGGCAGCGAAAGCATCACATGAGGCTTGGATATGCTGCACTCTTTTCAGCTGCTCTTGTAGAGCAAGACTATCGCCACCATTTCTCGAATCGCCCCAAGTCACGACGGAGCCGTCACAAAGGACAGCGGCAAAAGCATCGCTCGAGGATTGAATCTGCCATACGTTCTTCAGCTGCTCTTGCACTGCCACACAATCACCCCCTGACTGGGCATCGCCCCATGTTACAACAGATCCATCATGAAGGATGGCGGCAAAAGCGTCACCTGTGGACTGGATCTGCTGCACATGCCTCAGCTGATCTTGGACGGAGCTGCTGTCACCGCCACCGTGGGCATCGCCCCAGGTCACGACAGCTCCGCTATGAAGAAGCGCAGCAAAGGCGTCGCCTGCGGCCTGCACGTGCTGCACGTTCCTTAGGAGATCCTGCACAGAGCTGCTGTCACCACCGCTGTCAGCAGCGCCCCAAGTCACAACAGATCCTTCATGTAGGATAGCAGCAAAGGCGTTCTCTGTCGCCTGGATCTGTTGCACGTTTCTCAATACATCTTGGATAGAGCTACTGTCACCGCCGCTGTCAGGATCGCCCCACGTCACGACGGATCCATCACGAAGGATGGCAGCAAAAGCATCACATGTGGACTGAATCTGCCACACATGGTGCAGCCGGTCTCGTACTGTCTCGCTGTCGCCACCGCAAAGACGGTCGCCCCAGGTAACCACAGATCCGTCCCTCAGAATGGCCGCGAAAGCCGCACGTGAGGCTTGAATCTGCTGGACGTCTTTGAGCTGATGGTGAACAGCGCTACTGTCCCCACCGCTGCGAACGTCGCCCCAGCTAACCACACACCCGTCGGCAAGAATTGCCGCAAAGGCCAAATCTGATGATTTAATCTGCTGCACATTCTTCAGCTGATCCTGTACCTTCCTGCTGTCACCGCCGTAGCGACGGTCTCCCCAAGATACAACAGAGCCATCGCCCATGATCGCTGCAAAGGCGTGGACACCTGCGCAAACGCGAACCTGGCTGATCTGCAACATCAACAAATCACCGTCCTGCACATTAGCCGCCTTGACAGTGGATGCTCGGTCCAGGACACATCCGCAGGAATCCACTAGCCGACCCCTTCCAACGGCCAGAGCAGTCTGTGCCCGAAGCCCCAATAACTCCACAGCATCGTCCAAACCCACCTCCAATGAAACCGTTCTGCCACTTGCGAGCGCGACCTCCACGACAATGGTCATCTTGCCCGCCAAAGTTGCATTGAGGCTTCCAAATCTAACAAGTAGAGTACCCAGCACGCGCAGCCCCGAACATGTCGCGCCTGACCACCGCTACAGCTACTTAGCTACATCCAGCAATGCGATGAACAATCGAAAACGAGATCCTACACACAGCCTTAAACCCTAAACCCTAAACCCTAAACCTTAAACCCTAAACCCTAAACTCCGAAACCCCACACCCTCACACCAAACTTGGCAACAGCGCTCCCACACCCGAGCCAGGCAGAAACTTACTCTTTGGGGCCCTTACCCCCGGATCCAGTCCCTGCGGTGCCTAAACCCCATTTACAGTACCATGGTACCTATGGGGTTTAGGGTTTAGCGGTTTGGGGGTTTAGGGTTTAGGGTTTAGGGTTTAGGGTTTAGGGTTTAGGGCCTAGTAACTAGGATTTGAAAATTCTTATCAAGAAAAATATTTCTACCTTTTTAGCTTGAATCAAGTATGTTTGGCCTTACCCTCAAAGCTCAATGATCCTCCGAGTGCCGGCGGCCCACCACAACTCCTTGTTCATAGTTGGATTGTATATAGCCTCGATAAAGAACATAGGTAAACCCTCAGCGGAAAGCCGTTAGCCCTAAACCGCCTACAAGTCTAGGTCTGTGGGGGAGGATCCTCGTGGCTTTTGTACGCTTATCGTGGGGGGATTTTAGGGACAATTTAGGGTAAGGCACCTTAATGTGAATTGAAATAGGTGTAGCGCGACAGCCACGATGTTTCAGCCCCACAGCCCTAGACCGCTAAACCCTGCCTCTAAACTGCAAGCCCTGACCCCAAACCCTAGACTCAAAACTCGATGTCGAAGTTTCAGAAAATACTGGACCCTGATATAGGACCCCAAATAGTAGGATCCATACTATAAGGACCCCAAAATAAGGTACCCCTAACTTTCTGAAATTCCCATTTAGACTAGACAAGCCCAGGAAGCCGACGTGAAAGCCTGCAGCAAACAGAAACCCTAAACCCTAAACCCCAAACCCTAAACCCCAAACCCTAAACCCTGAACCCTGAACCCTAAACCCTACACCCTAGACCCTGAACCCTGAACCCTAAACCCTAAACCCTAAACCCTGAACC